CCCCGTGATGCACAGGGGTTACTCCTGGCTTTGCACTCAGGAATTACACCTGGCGGTGCTTGGGGGACTGTATGGGATGCTGGGAGTCGACCCGGGTCGGCCGCTAGCAAGGCAAATGCCCTACCCGCTGTACTGCCACGCCAGCCCTAAAGCAGGTACCTTTCATGTAAAACGTTTTTTGGTTTTGGACCACAGCTGCTGATGCTGAGGAGTTACTACTGGCATGATTCCGGGGATCAAATGGGATGTCGGAGAATCAAAATGGTATGTGACACTTTATAGTTGATTGAACACTTACAACATACCATTTCATGAGGCAGATTTTTTAGAGAATAGTGAAATTTCCTTCTGTAATATTCAACAAGAAATCTTTCATTTTATAGTCCCAATGTATTCTCAAGCTCCTAGGCATGGTTTTATCTGAAGACATTACGGAGAGAGCAGGGGGGATGATTTGGAATATCTAAACAGATGCATTTAAACCAGTATATCACTGAAGAAAAGAGAAATCTCTCTACTGGCTTTTTTAACAAACATTTCTAATCTTCTCACTGTGGAAAAAGAAAAAAACTAATAGTTGTGTTACAAGAATTATTCAGTCAAGGGATTTGAAATCCTTGTCACCAAATTCAACCACTTGAATAAATCACACTATAGACCCATGTCAACCATATCTTTGTGATATTACAGAAAATGTTCTTTACTCTTGCTATTTGATTGAAATTGATCACTCTTTACCAGAAAAAAAAACATTCCGTCCCCTCCTGTTTATTTTGTGAACTTTGCTGTAAATAGATTGAAGCTGCATCCTAGTTGAACTCTAATACACAAGGTTTATTCTGTTTCTTGATATAAGTCTCCTCTCACTCTTCTCTCTATCTCTCTATCTATCTATAATTCATGGAGGTTTCTGGGTGACCATATGGTGCTGGGGTTCAAGTTTCTTGCATATAAAGTATACACTCATCCTGTTGAAATATCACTATAGCCCTCACATTTTCTTACTTCAAAGAGTAATCTTCGGTACAAGCCTAAGAATCATTACGGACTAATCATACTGTCATTTCTTCCTGCTACACATTCTTATCTTTGGCAAGCATTCATTCTGAGGGGCATCCTGTAATGCTCATGATGCCATCTTTGTTGAACTCATAATTATAAAAAATAAGAGGCTATAGAAAACTTATTTTTAAATTGAATTTAAGCAGTTTTGCCACATTTTAAATGTCAGACAGAACTGTTCCACAGTACAAATCTGCCAAGTCTATGCAGGCGGTTGTTTTCAATAGGTCTGTTCATGCCCTATTGTACTAAGCTTTTTTTAAATGCACACCTTGCTGGAAAAGGCCAAGAACACCCACACAGGCAGTGGGCACTGTTACTTTATTCTTGCTCCAAGTTGATGAATAGACTCTATTCCATTTGGTGTGTTGCATTGTTAAGCATTTACTAGTTTTTTTTTAAATGGACACTGAGCCTTCCTGGGACACAGCAGGCAGCAGTCCTTGTACCCTCCCACATGGCCATTCACTCCTCCAGCCATCTGCCCATCTATCTGCCTCCTCTTGATCATCCTTTTTCCTCCAGTTCAGCGGATCTGTAATTGAATAATGAACATAATGACATGCAATGGATGAATTTGAGGAAGATCTGGTGAACAAACATTCCATATCTTTTTCAACCACAAAAGCTAAAAAATTATTTCTCATAAAGACATTTTAAGCTATGTAAAGGTACAATTTGGAAACTAATAGTGAAAACATTCTGAAAAATTGGCAAATGACTTAGGACAGAATCTATTCTTTAGTAAGATAAGATTCCTGCTGATGAACTTTCCACAATAGTGAAGCTATACACATCTTTAAGGATGAAGCAGCACTGACCATGCAAGTGGAAGCAAATATAAACAAATGGGACTATATCAAACTAAGAAGCTTCTGCACTTCAAAAGAAACAGTGACCAAAATACAGAAAGAGCCCACAGAATGGGAAAGAATATTTACTCAATACCCATCTGATAAGGGATTAATATCCAGAATATACAAGAAACGAATAGAATTGTACAAGAAAAAACCCTCCAACCCCATCAAAAAATGGGGAGAAGAAATGAACAGAAGTTTCCTCAAAATACAAATACATCATTGGAAAGCCAGATATGAGCCAGTGGTGACAGGGGTGCGGTCTGATGGGAAGGGGGGGGTTACTGGCTCGTCCTTCACACCCTACCGAAGTCACAAGTTGCCCCCCATGAGTGGCTCTCCAACATGGCCATGGCTCCAGAGGCAAAAGGAAAATCCAGAGCCCTGCAGCTTGTGGCAGAAAAGTGAACGGACCATGCATTAAACTAAGGCACCTTGCCTTTCTGGGAGGGAAAGGGTGTTGCTCCCTTCTGCTTTCCCCCACCCCCCAGCAGCAAGGTAGCCACCGCCTCAGAGCTTATTGGAAAGCCAGGTATGAGCCGGCGGTGACCAGGCAACTGCAGTCTCATGGGAAGGGGGGCGGTACTGACTCGTTCTTCACACCCTACTGAGGTCAGCAGTTGCTCCCCACGAGCGGATCTCCGGTAAAGCCATAACAAAAAACAATTTCATAATTATCTGGCTCTTTGCAGAAATCCAAAATTGCATGGCTGCAATATCATATGGTTCTCATAACCAGCTATAGAAAACAAATTATTTCACAATGCCTTTTCAGCAATTCTGATTGTTGGGGGGAAATTCTAAACAATAATGGTGCATCTTTTGTTGAAATTATGAATGTAATCAAAGTAGAGAGAGAGTTAAGTAGAAACTATCTGCCTCACAGGCATTGGGAGGGGTGGGAGGGGGTATATTGGGGTTCTTGGTGGTGAAAAATGAGTACTGGTGAAGAGAAAGGTGTTTGATCATTGTATGACCGAGACTTAAACCTGAAAGCTTTGTAACTTTTCCCACAGTGATTCAATAAATAAATATAAGAAAAGAAATTAAAAAAAGAAATACAAATGGCCAAAAGGCACATGAAAAAATGCTTCATATCGCTAGCTATCAGGGAATTGCAAATCAAAACAACAATGAGATATCATCTCATACTACAGAGACTGGCACACATTCAAAAGAACAAAAGCAACCAGTGCTGGCATGGATGTGGGGGAAAAGGGACACTTTCACTGTTGGTGGGAATGCCCACTAGTCCAGTCTTTCTGTAAAAAAACATGGACAGTTTTTCAAAAACTAGACACTGAGCATCTATATGACCCCGCAATACCACTTCTGGGAATATATCCTGAGGATGCAAAAAGGCACAGTAAAAAACGACATCTGTACCTATATGTTCATTGCAGCACTGTTCACAATAGCCAAAATCTGAAAACAACTCAAGTGCCCCACAACAGATGACTGGTTATCTTTGGTACATCTACACAATGCAATACTATGCAGCTGTCAGGAGAGATGAAGTCATTAACTTTGCTTATAAATGGATAGGCATGGAAAGTATCATGCTAAGTGAAATGAGTCAGAAAGAGAGGGACAGACATAGAAGGACTGCACTAATTTGTGGAGTATAAAACAACATAACATGAGACTGACACCTAAGGACAGTAGATACACGGGGCAGATAGATTGCTCCATAGCTGGAAGCCTGCCTCATGAGCAAAGGGGAAAAGGCAGCTGGAATAGAGAAGCGATGGCTAAGAAAAAGATGGCTGGAAGACTCGGCCGGGATGGGAGATGTGTGCAGATAGTCGATAAAGGATCAAACATGGTAACCTCTCAGGGTCAGAATTGCAAACTATAATGCCCCAAAATAGAGAGAGATTATGGGGAATCGAGTCTGTCATGGAGACAGGGGGAGGGTGGGAAAGGGGGGATATACCGGGGATATTGGTAGTGGGGAATGTTCACTGGTGGAGGGATGGGTGTTTGATCACTGTGTGATTGTAACCCAAAAATGAAAGCTTGTAACTATCTCATGGTGATTCAATAAAATTTAAAAAAAGGATTTCTGTTGATTTAGAACACAGAATATGAAATTAAACAATTTAGCTTCTGGCTATTCCAGGTCTCTAAGTATAAGATATTAACAGACAGAATTATAAAGAATATTAAAATAGTCTCAAAATGAATCTAAAATAAATCTTCACTATGTTAAGAAAAAGAAAATAATTTCGAATAAATAAATATTAAAGTACCAAATATAATATTTATGAAATAATATATTATAATTCAGAAAAATTGGGCATCAATGTGAACTGTTCTGTATATAAAACTATGAACTATGACTTTTAACTATAAAAATATAATAATTATGATAATAATGATTCCATTATTTGGAAGCCTAATGTAAGCTAGATGCTGTATATGCATTATCTCAATTGACCAACATATTCCCACAAGGTAGGAAGCATTATCATCCTAATTTTTCAGATGAAGGAAATAAAGTTTATACAAAATTTAGAAATTTTGCTTAAGACATTTAGCAATTTATATGGAAGAGTTAGCGGATGAGCTAAGGACTTTTCTCACTCTAGAACACATTCTCCGTTTAATCAGAAAAATCACAAATCATCCTGTTATTCGTCGATTGCCTCAAGCAGGCCCCAGTAACGTCTCTTTCATCATAGCCCTGAGATTATATTGAAAGCTCTTTAGGACAATGAGACCCATCATTGTTACTGGTATTTGGCATATTGGGTACGCCACGGGGAGTTTGCCAGACTCTGCCGTGTGGGCAGGCTACATTCAGTAGCCTGCCAGGTTGTCCAAAGTAGGAACGAGATAATAAGATGTCATAATAAGAATAAAATACAATCTACAACAATCAAATTTTAAATTTGTGCCTGTCAAGAAGGCAGTCTGGGAGGTGAGAGCCAACCTGAGGACTTTGGTAGAGAGAAGTAAAAACTGGTTGTGGGGTTGGAAAGAAGGCAGATTTGGGCATCAGAGGGAACCTGGGGACTTTGGTGAAGAGAAGTAGACACTGGTTGTGGGTTTGAAGCTAAAACAGTGTATACCTCAAAGTCAACGAAGAATAACCATGGTTTGTCCTCGTTGGACCACTCCAGCATCCGCCGTGGCTTCCAGGTGTACAAGCAGGTGTGCTTGTTGTGCCACAGCATGGACTACGTGGGCTATTGCCACCTCGTTGGCGTGTGCTACACCAAGGAGGAGGCCAAGGCGATGGCCCAGAAGGTGGAGGTCCAGGATGGCCCCGATGATGATGGGGAGATGTTCATATGGCCAGGAAAGCTGTCTGACTACTTCCCCAAGTCCTACCCCTACCCCGAGGCCGAGCGCTGCCAACAACGGGGTGCTGCCCCCTGACCTCAGCTACATTGTAAGAGCCAGGCACGGCTGCGAGGACTACGTCTTCTCCCTGCTCACTGGCTCCTGTGACCCACCCCCTGGCGTGTCTCTGGGTGAGGGGCTGCATTTCAACCCCTACTTTCCCGGTCAGGCCATTGGCATGGCTCCTCCCATATACAATAAGGTCTTGGAGTTCAATGATGGCACCCCAGCCACCATGTCCCAGGTGGCCAAGGATGTTTGCACCTTCCTGCGCTGGGCATCTGAGCCCGAGCATGACCATCGCAAGCGGATGGGGCTTAAGAATGTTGATGATTATGGGCTTGCTGTTGTCCCTGGTCTACCTTACGAAGGGGCACAAGTGGTCAGTCCTGAGGAGCCGGAAGCTGGCTTATTGGCCACCCGAGTGATCCTGCTAAAAGCCTGCTTGCCATCCCGCCTGAACAGGAGCAATCCTGGGCCTGGTTGGACCTCAGCTGGCCACCTTGGCCAAGACCCTCTTTTTGGGGGTCTTGGCCACAATATATAATAAATTATCTTAAAATACAGTAAATAATAAAGAAACCAAGTGTTCTGACCCCAGACAATAAGTGATAAAGTTAGCATACTTAGGTTTAATCCCTGATATGTACTTTGAACCCTTGATGTCAGTATTCTGAATCTTAATTTCTTCCTCTTAAAAGTGGAAATAATTGCTATTGATTGTTTTATGATTCCACAGATAATATGTATGCCTCAAACTCGATCATTGCAATCTATTGAATGTGATTGTGTTTCAGTTAAAAATGGGGAAAAGATAATATGAGGGGAAATGCCGGAGGTGTATGGGCCTATGAAGTGTTACTAAATACAGTCAAGTATAGAACACTTCTCCCTAACTGTTGATACCTCAAGTTGATGTGAGCACTTTAAAGATATTCTTGGGAGCTTTGACTGGGGTCCAAATAGAAAGAAACTTCTCATGCTAAAACAAAATCATGCCTAGAATTATACAATTTCTATTCAAAAGTTGTATCCAATAATGGCATTGTTTTTCTTTTTTTGGGTCAACCCAGTGATGCACAGGGGTTACTCCTGGCTCTGCACTCAGGAATTGGCCCTTGTGGTGCTCAGGGGATCATATGGGATGCTGGGAATCAAACCCAGGTCAGCAGCGTGTAAGGCAAACAAGACTACCTGCTGTGCTATTGCTCCAGCCCCAATAATGACAATTTATAGCCAAGTATTCCCAATATTTTGATCACAAATAAACCCATCGTAGAGTCAGATAATATATGAATGGAATATTCTGGCCATTATTCCAGGACTTTTAATATGAGATTACTCTATCATTATTTAATAAACTAATTTTCTGGGTTCCTAGGATTAATTTGTCTTATCCTTGGTATTTGGATTATAGGGGAAAATCTTATTCTCAATCAGCATCTAGCCTAATGAGTTTTAGGTATTGTAGAAAGAGAAAACCAGATAGACAATAATATTTTAGCTAATTCTTAGTGGTACTTATTGCGTATCTGGTACTTTTTAACCAGGTGTTGAAAGTCTGGTATCAAGTCAATGTAAAGTTAATATTACTACTATCATACTGCACAGATGAGAAAATTAAGACACAGAGACAGAATAATTTTTTCATAGCAAATACTGCGAATAAAGGGAAGATCCAGGATTTGAACAAATCCACAATATTATTATGCTTTTAAAAGACTTTCCTGTCACCAATATAATGATAAGAGGATCTCCTGGGGATAGATTGAAGAAACCTCAAAATAATTCAGAATCTCCAGAGGATTGATGCATGTAGCTATCATCTAAAAAGCAAATTCCTTGATCAGAAAACAAAATAACCAGAACATCAAAATAATTAATTTGATTAATTAATTTCCCAGAGAATAGACAAAATATGGCAATTCATTTCTGTATAGTTATTTTGCTACAATAAAATTATTCTAAAATTTAATAGATTAAAGTAACAAATAATAATTATATGACAATTTCTATTAGTCAGAGATGTGTGTATAAATTAGCTAGACAGTCACAAACTGTCAACCAGAACTGCAATCATCAAAAGCCTCAACTGATGGAGAATCTGCTTCTGAGCTTACTCAGTGGTTGTTGGCATGATTAAGTTTCTTGCAACATATTGGTCACAGGGCTCAAATCTTCAATACATGTCCACTCCAGTTCCTTATTGAATCTCTCCTATATAGCATATCACAACCTGGCAACTAATTTCTCTTATAGTGGGACAAAGAGAACAGATTCCTAAGGCAGGTCATCATTTTATAATCCAATCTAGGAAGTAACTACTTATTGCTGTCATGTATATAGAATAAGGGAATGAACTAAATTCATTTTACATTGACAGGGAGAGGATTACACAGGATGTGAATGCCAGGAGTCGATCTCGAGAGACCTATTTTAGAAGTCACTTAATGTAGCCGCATATCATCGAAAGCTCTGTATTGGCTTTCCCAGAAGATCATTAGTCTGGCTTGTTGCCTTCAGATAGCAGAGCAGCGTGCATCACTGAACTTAGAAGAAACCCCTGCATTGAGTATCAGACAGTGCAAGCTTGTCAAATAATACAAACTAATTAGTAAGTAAAGTTAAGATTTTATTTGCACTTCCATGATTTTCATTAGTTTCATCTGTACCCACATTTCCAGTTTTCACCACACAGACTTCAGAAAGGTGTTGTAAAACTAGCATTTCTTTCTCCTGATCCTATCTGTTCTGTCCTTCAAAAGATTATTAACTTAGCTCTGGAATATATCACTATCTAATATTTCCTGGCAGACAGAGATTTTCATACTGAGATCCAAGTCAGTTTGTAAAAGTCACACATATAGGCATGTAATAGCAGGTTATGGGTGAATTTAGAAAGACTTAGTTGATGACATTTTTCCCTGATTCTAGTAGAAACAGATGTACTCAGAGGAGCTTAAGCAGTTATTATGTATAATTAACACTTGCAAAAACTGGATTGCATTCACTAACAAAAAGAATAAAGTCAGTGAGTTTTCCTCTAAAACAAGTGTTTAATATCTCTTGCTCGTTGTTGTCAATATTTCCAATTTTCTGCTCAGGGATCTACATGGATCGCCTCAACTTTCTATTTTAACTGGCCTAAGAAAGATTGATTTCTGCTCTGCTTAGCTGTATGACACATATGTCTTTAACTAAGGTTACCTACCAACAAAATCAACTTCATATATATTAGTTTGCTTTTCGAAACAATAATTTTTGCTAATTCTATTTTATTTTACCAAACTACAAATTTTGATCTTTTTGCTATCATCTGCCTGCTACCATTTACAGTACATTGTAAAAATTATTCTCTTTCATCTTGATAAAATTTTCTGCCTCTTAGAAATTGATTCCTTTGGGTACAGGCTCCTTATTACAGGCTGCCCGACCTCTGAATCAAACTTGGAAATACTATTTCCAAGTTCCTATATCTACCATCAAGTTTACTTATTCCATGTCAAGAGCCCCCCCCCAAAAAGAGGGTCTTGGCCAAGGTGGCCAGCTGAGGTCCAACCAGGCCCAGGATTGCTCCTGTTCAGGCGGGATGGCAAGCAGGCTTTTAGCAGGATCACTCGGGTGGCCAATAAGCCAGCTTCCGGCTCCTCAGGACTGACCACTTGTGCCTCTTCGTAAGGTAGACCAGGGACAACAGCAAGCCCATAATCATCAACATTCTTAAGCCCCATCCGCTTGCGATGGTCATGCTCGGGCTCAGATGCCCAGCGCAGGAAGGTGCAAACATCCTTGGCCACCTGGGACATGGTGGCTGGGGTGCCATCATTGAACTCCAAGACCTTATTGTATATGGGAGGAGCCATGCCAATGGCCTGACCGGGAAAGTAGGGGTTGAAATGCAGCCCCTCACCCAGAGACACGCCAGGGGGTGGGTCACAGGAGCCAGTGAGCAGGGAGAAGACGTAGTCCTCGCAGCCGTGCCTGGCTCTTACAATGTAGCTGAGGTCAGGGGGCAGCACCCCGTTGTTGGCAGCGCTCGGCCTCGGGGTAGGGGTAGGACTTGGGGAAGTAGTCAGACAGCTTTCCTGGCCATATGAACATCTCCCCATCATCATCGGGGCCATCCTGGACCTCCACCTTCTGGGCCATCGCCTTGGCCTCCTCCTTGGTGTAGCACACGCCAACGAGGTGGCAATAGCCCACGTAGTCCATGCTGTGGCACAACAAGCACACCTGCTTGTACACCTGGAAGCCACGGCGGATGCTGGAGTGGTCCAACGAGGACAAACCATGGTTATTCTTCGTTGACTTTGAGGTATACACTGTTTTAGCTTCAAACCCACATCCAGTGTCTACTTCTCTTCACCAAAGTCCCCAGGTTCCCTCTGACGCCCCAATCTGCCTTCTTTCCAACCCCACAACCAGTTTCTACTCTCTACCAAAGTCCTCAGGTTGGCTCTCACCTACCAGACTGCCTTCTTGACAGGCACATTTTAAAATTTGATTGTTGTAGATTGTATTTTATTCTTAAAGTATTGTTGATTCTGTAGATTACATACATATCTATCTATCATCTGTCTTTCTTTCTTTCTTTCTTTCTTTCTTTCTTTCTTTCTTTCTTTCTTTCTTTCTTTCTTTCTTTCTACCTCACCTCTATACTATCACGGTTGTCTAGGCCCCTGAAATTCTGTCTTCTTGTACCCTTCTTAGTCTATTTCCTTCCCCATCCTTCTCATTTTTATGCTCAAGGGTTAAGGATAGTCTCGGCACCCCACCTTTTAGACCAAATATTCCCCTTTCTTGTTATTCTTCTATATACTGCAGATAAATCAGGTTATACAATATTCTTGTTTCTTCACTTAACATGATATCCTTCACTAAAAACCTTTCTATGAGAATCATGTTCCTCACTAAACATGCCTACCTAAGTCAGAACTTAGTAATGATAGTACCTAAGACTAGATATGACAGATCCAGAACTTCTTGGGTTAGAGAAATTTAATTGATTTGCAAAATGTGTCAGGAATCAATGGGTCCAAAGAAGCAGAGAAATGATTCTGTAGACCAAATAATTAACTGAATCAATAGATCAAAAACAGAATTTTATGTTTAAGGTTGGATAGATACTGGGTTTGACCCAAAATGATGCAGGGCAATTGAGGGTGAGCAAGTATAGCTCTGACTTTTTTTTACCTGTGTGATTTTAGGTAAGTTAATTAACAACTTTGATGATTGCAATCAGCATATATAAAATGATATATTGACCACTTTATATCTCTGTTGTAATGATTGTGTAAGATAAATAATACCCACAAAATGCTCAACACAAGGACTGGCATGCAGAAATGATTTAATAAATCATAACTATAATTATCACAAATAATATCAGTGTAAAATTGTATTTAACTAGAAACTAGTGCTGTTATTACACAGACAATTGAAATAGTCCTTAGAAATTCATAATGCTCTTATCAGAGATTTACATTTTAAATTCTTTTTATAAACATCTTCCCAGTGTACCACAGTGATGCTTGAATGGGTATTGAA